AAGTGAACCAGGATAGCCATAATGCATTGGAGTTGCCATAAAAGATTGGACATTTTTAGATAACACTTTGAATGAAAAAAAATATAGAGAAACTAAGAGGACTAAAAGCATCTGCCAACCCTGGAATGAAAGATAGCCATTGTTAAAAATTTGTATATACCTTTTACCCAGAATTTGTACAGTGTACACACTTATGAAACATAAACCATGTGTCTGTCATATGGTATAAAGAGATTTGAAACCTCACTCTGCCAGTACTTACTGTAAGCAAGTTTGCAACCTATTAGATATTCTTCTGCACAATCATTTTCTTGTAGCTTTATTTAATTTTTTTCATAATTTTAAGACATTGTTTTTTTACTATTTAGGATTATAAACAATGCATAAATGAATAGTCTGAGAGATGAATTGCTTTTTTACCACATATTTACAGACCTGGAATTTCTGTGTCAAAGAATATATACATTTTGAAGACATATGCAATCTTAAGTCTCCAGAATACCTTTACTAATACATATTTCCAACTATGGGATGGGGGAATGCACATTTTTCAAATTTTAACTCATATTTTACAAACTTGGTGTTAGAGTCTTTGCCCCTGAGATTAGAAGTATTACCCAGGTGATAAGCCTACAATTTTGTGGATACAGATTAAGCCACAGTAACTATAACGTCTTCGTTAGTTAGGATTGGCTGAATGATACGAACAGGAAGCTCATCATAAAACAAGCTTAAATCAAAATGTGCATCAGATGTTACACATATGTCCATGTAAATAGTTCTGGGATGAAATGGTGTCAGGCACAAGCTCAGCAATGCTGGGCACCTTGACTCCAACCTATTGCCCGTCTCTACTTGGCCCATGACATTCTGGTCCAAAATGATACCATTTGGGGTCCATAAAGCCGAATGGGGGCAGAAAAAAAGAATAAGAAATGCAAACAGTCCACTTGGTTTCTTCCTTAAATAAAAGATTCCTGAGTGCTACATAATACTTCCTCATTGGTCATATTAGCTAGCACTTGGACACTGGCCAGCCCAAATTCAAGGGAAGCTTAGAAATATAGCGAGTTTTCCTTCTGGAAAACTTGTGCCAATCAAGAAAAATCTTACTTCTGTGGAGAAAGGAGTGCATTGGCTTGATAAGAGTTGTCATAACAAAGTTGCAAAAACTAAAGAACCTAAAGACCAAGAATGCATTGTCTCACAGCTTGCTGTGGAGGGGAGATATCAAAAACCAAAGTATCAGCAGTTTGTTTCTTGTGAGGGTTGTGAAAGAATATGTGCTCCAGGCCTCTTTCCTTAACTAATAGATGATACCTATCCCTAAGTTTTTTTCAAATAATCATATATATACATATATGTATATATGCATACATACATATATATACATGTATATATACATGTATACATGATATTCTCTCTTTTTGTAAGAATACCAGTCATATCTAATCACAGCTCACCCACATGGCTTCACTTTAACTTCTATAGGCTTTTAAAGACCCTATTTCAAAATAAGGTCCTATTCTAAGGTGCTGGAGACTAAGTTTTCAACAGTGAATTTGGGGATGGAGGAGACACAGTTAGAATCATAATAGAGAACACAGATATTGGGGACAACTAGAAGTTTCTGCCTGATTCTCAAATTAGCAGCATCCTCAGATCGGGTCCATATGATTGGGGCACTTTGCTCCATCTTTCTGCTGGCCAAGTCAGTTACTTAATGGGAGTTCCCAAGATGGCCAAACTCCCTGTCTTCCCTGCTTTCTTTATTGAGTGCCCTCATAAGACTCACTTGTTGGGTGCTCATGTCTGTTTTGAAACTATGGCATATGGTGTTTATGCCATAAATGTGTCCCACTTTGTCCCCAGGGTCTAGTCACACTCAGCACCACTTGTGCACCAAGTAATATGTACTACTACTGTGCTGCTAAATGGAATAGTAAATCTTCACCATGAGAGAGTTACTTGTTGGGGGCTTTTCTAAACACTGCACATGCATTATTTTATTTGAAGTTCAAAACTTCATCCCTATCTCTAGTAGACATATGAGTTTCCTAAACTCATATGGCTAGTAAATGGCAGGGATATAATTAGAACCCAGGTCTGGATAACCAGAGCCTGTGTGCTTGACCACCACACCACTACTCCAAAAGTCTTTCACTGACATAGAAGCTATAGCTCCTCACTCTGTCTTCATCTGAGGGCCTAAAACCATGGGCTGGCATGGGACACACATGGTTTACAATATTTTGACCATCTGCATTTCACTTTTACACCTCTTTCTCTCCCACAAGCATGCAATTTACCATCAAGTTTCATAGATTTTAGTTCCAAAACACATTTGCTATCTGGACCATTAGTCCCTGTTTCTCACTGCCACTATGTATCATCAAAGCCCCTGGGATTCTATAGTCTAGGGGGGAAACTGGGTCATATCAACTTCAACATCTAGATGAAACTTGGTGTGGAATATACTTCAAATTTATTCCACTGCTATCTCTCCCCTCACCCAATATGTCTTCCAGAGTGTATCTGTATTCTAGAGCATAAGCATTTATGAATGCAAACCAGTGAATGAATGTATCTTCCAATGTATGATGCACAAAACTGCTCTTTCTACCTAGCAACAACAACCAGTGAAAAATCCTCAGAAAAAAGCACCAAATCAATACTACCCTAAGCAGCAAGTCTGAATTCCAGTTTCAGCTCAGCAAACACACACACACTGAAGTTAATTGAGGTTGTATTACCTATTTCGCAACTGTGATCAATGATGGGTGTGGTCTATAGAGACCACAACAGGCCAGGTGGATATGAGAGGCAGATTACATTCTCAAAGCAGAGACTGTCCAACACTCTACCTAGGAGGGTAAATAAGAACACACATGCTTTCTGGAAAACCACATCCCAGGCCACATAACAGGAGAAGAATGCAAGCCACACAAAAGGGAATCTAATAACACTTTCCACGTGCCAATCCAGATTTCATTTTACAAACTTTACATATATGAATTTACAACAACTCTATAAGTAATTCTTATAAGTAATGGCAGATGAGGAACCGGAGATGCAAGAGATGAACTAGCTTATCCATTATTATGTAGATAATAATTTGAAGAACTGAGTACAATTTAAACCATTTCTACAAATGAGTTTTGGCAGAGGGAGAGCAGAATATACCTAAGAAAGATAGTACTAGAAGAGGCAGATATACCTACACACAGATACATATAAATAATCTCTCAGATTAAGCAATAGGGACATGCTCTTACTGATCAAAAGGCTAATGTTAAGCATGTTATGCACTCTTGCTATCTCTTTCAATTTATGAATTTACAAACTATGTTTGTTCAAAGTAAAATTTTGTTACATCCATATTTTAAAGAAAAACAAATTTATCCTTGGTACTTAAGAGTTGTTTGAAAGAGAACTGTTGTGCCACTCCTTATGCCCTGATCGGTGTGTCATTTTACCTTATTATGTATTTTTTTTGTTTTGTTTTGTGTTGTGGCCCTAGGGATGTCATCTTATGCCACCATGTCTTCCTTTCCTCAACAAGGACAGTCAGCTGTACAGATTGAGACCACTATTCTGTACTCAGACCAACGACCTAGCAACTACTACCCACGTGACCTCAGGCAGGGTACATATTACTTTATCAAGCTTGTAATCTTAGCTTTAAAAGGGGGATATTATCTGCTACATGAAGATTAGTTGGAAAAAATAAATGAAGTGTTTTGTGTATAGTAGATTCTTGGTAAATATTTTGTCTTAATTATTACACTGTATGCAATTTAATTTTTTCTCAAAACTCAAAAGACATATCAATGGACTCGGTGAAGTAGTTTTCCAAACACTTATTTAACTATTACTTGGGGACCTCCTATTCACAAAGTGTCTTAAAACAATTACATTTCAGCCAGGACAATGAGATTGGCACATTTCTAGCAGTGTTAAAACCTTGAAAGTGAGGTGTGTGTGTGTGTGTGTGTGTGTGTGTGTGTGTGTATGTATGTGTGTGTGTGTGGAGAGAGAGAGAGAGAGAGAGAGAGAGAGACTGTTATGAAAATTTTTAAAAATTACTTTCATTTCCAACATTTGGAGAAACAGCAGAGAAAAGGAATTTGAGATAAACCTGCAAGGATGCTACAAATAGTACTTCTCTGTATAACCAGTAAAAATAATTATTATTTTCTTCTTTCTTTCCAATTCACCCCTTAGCATAACTTTTTCGAACTTTATAAATTAGATGCAATTCTTGTTTCTATTATCTTTTGTGTGCTTCTTCAAGATAAAGTTGTATTATTATCACTGCATTCTAGCACTTAAGGTAGCAGCTGTAATAATGAAATAACAGAAAGGATGTTTAGGGTTTATACTTAGCCTTAGAGGAAGTGTATGGTTCTAGGTGTCTGATTTTAATTTGAGGATGTACCTCTTACTTAGCTTCAGTTCGTGATCTTTTGGGTAGCCAGAGAAAATACAGAGCACCCAGTTAAATTTGGATTTCATTTAAACAAGGAATAACTTAAGTGTATGGCATGCAATATTTGGGGCATACTTAAAAAATTATTCGCTGTTTATCTGGAATTTGACATTTAAATGGGCTTGCTGTATGTGCTCCAACTGACAACACTGGTGATCCCTCGGATCACGGTTTTTGACTGCAAATGGGGGTGCCAGACCTTCCGAGGAGGATCTGTATAAAGAACTGTGCCCACAGTGGAGACACGTATCAAAAATCTGGGACAATGGCTACCCTCATTAGTCGGTTTTCTAAAGAGTGAGACAAAATTCAATAGAACTCCGAACAAAGTGCAATCTGCCTGGAGAGATTTGGAAATCTGCCTCCAGTTTCACAACTCCACGAGATGTAAGCAACACCCTAGCCAGCTAGGAAGAGATGCTCGCGCAAGCGCACACGGACCCGGTGGCAGCCACCACCCCGCCCGCCGCGCGTCCGAGTATCACGTGGGCGATCCGCTGCGCCGGGGCGGGGCAGAGCGGTGTCACATGACCCTGACCCTGGGAAAGCACAGGGATGGATCCGGAAGAGGGGACACCGTTGTGGAGGCTGCAGAAGCTGCCCCAGGAGCGGGGCTTGCAGGTGAGGGGTGCAGGCTGCTCGACGAGCGGGGTGCTTCCCTGGCTCCCTCGAGGGTTCGTCCAGGAAGGGAGGGAAGAAGCGGGGTTTCGGGTGACCTCTCTAGCTCCCACCGGCATGCGGAGCTCGTAGTGCTTCTTAGGTACCCACGCTGGAGTCTCAGCTCGAGGGGCCTTGCTGGCGGGTGTGCGAACGCGAGCCTACGGGCCCCGGGATGGGGGCGACCCGTACGCCCTCTGGCCCGGGACTCTTGCCCCAGTCAGGCGGGAGAGTCGCCGCGGAGACCTTGAAGGGTTAACACCCTGGAATGGAGCTTGCACTCGCCCAGAAAACGTTTCATTCGTTAAGCACTCACGGTCCTGCAAGCTGGGGACACTGGTGACAACAGTGGAGCTGAGCCGGCCCCCTTGAGGGCGACGAGGGAGCCCAGTAACTGGAGGAGGGACTTCAGTTGGAATGGCCACAAGAGGTGATGTTTGTGAAGGAACCTGGCATGAGAGGACCCCAGGAAAGCAGTCCCATTCATACGTTCAGCCTAGCTGTCGCTGAGGTCAACCTTAAGTGTAGTGTTCTGGTGGGGGAGGTGAGTGGTGAACCAGATCCAGCCTGTGGCATCTTTGGTGAGTCCCAATTTCTGCCTTCTTTCCCTGATCCCACTTACTGTAGGGAGTTAACTTACACCCTGCTGAGACCAAGAAAATGCATTTTAACCCTTCTGTCTGACTTTACCATTGAGGAAACATGTCACAGAGGGTTTGAGTAACTTGCCCAGAGTTGACCACCATAGGCTCAGAAGTTGTGCACCTGAGTTCTCCTGGCCTCCACTCTCCTGCTTTCTTTCTATCCACATTAGATAAGACCCCTCACCTTTACTTCCACAGACATTGATGACTCCTAAATCTCTGGGTCCAGCCAACTCTGCCCAGAGTGTCAGGCTCTGCCAGGGGTTCCTGGAACTCATTGTGTCCTGGGATTGAGTGCTTCTATCCCTATATAGCGTCTCCTTCCACAGCCTCTTTTTCATTTGGTGATACCACCACGTTCACATACTCACAGGACCTGAGATTCTGGATTTTATCCTGGCCCTTCTTTATTACGTATCTTTTACACCTTGAGTGTTCTCAATAATTGTGCCATAATCTCTACCCTGTAAATTGAAGACAGGGCCTTTAGTCTCCTTCTCTTCCTTCCTCTCTTTATGTCTTTAAATCTGTTGGCAAATTTATGAAAAGATAGTGGTACATGTGAGTAGGTTGCTTCCTATTGGACCTTGAGTGCAGATTAAACTGTAGGTTCTTTAGAATTGTGTACAAGGGCCCTTATGGCCTTTGCCCACTTCTCTAGCCTTGTTGACACTCAGTCTCCCCTACCTTCCAAATTCCAGCTATCCCGAAAGCAGTGTAATTATTATCCTCTCAACCTGTTTGTGACTGGAAGTGCCCTTCCTCTCTCCTGTTTGCCTACACAACTACTTACTGCTCTTAATACAGCTTTTTTCTTGCTTCCTCTCTCTGCTCCTTTTGCGACTGCTATAAACCTCTCTTATAACAACATTCTAAATTGCATTTATTTATTAACGTTGCCTTTTTCTGACAGAATAAAGATCCATTATGGTAGTACCTTAACGTTGCCTTGACTGTAAAATAGGAATGATCATAATATTTACTTCCGGTTAGTAGCAATAGTGCATGGTACCTAGTTAGGAGTCAATAAATGGTAGTAGCTTTACAGTTATTTTTTCTTTGTATTTCTATCACATTATTTAAGGACTGGGTCCCTACCCAGTCCTTGTCTAGTATGTATGAGGCGCTGTGTTCAATTTCCAGTACCACAAAAGAACAAAACAAAAAGCCCACAATTACTTTATTTAATAAATGCAATAAAGTATCATTACATATTCATGGATTAAAAACAATCCAAAAAAGTAACACTTTTATTTTTCAGTTTGAATTCTCAGTTTTACTTTATCATGGAAGCAGTCAGGGATAAGATGGAATAGCTCTAGAGAAGATGGAGTTTTAAATTGATTGTGTTAGTTGATTTATTGTACATAAAAATTCTCTTTCATTACACATCAGGCATTGTGTGGAATTAGAAGTCACCAGCTGCTTATCTCTGTTCTAAAGTATGTGGTGTTGTTATAGGGTGTTATTGCTTAAAACGGAGTGGAATATGATACTGGGAGAAAGACTTGAAAGACTCGCCACTTTTGTACTTATCTGTCTTAGTTACTTTTCTCATGGCTGAGACAAAATACCTGACACCCAAAGTTAGTTAAGGAGGAAAAGGTTATTTGGCTCACAGTTTGTAGAGGTTTCAGTTTGTAGTCATCTGGCTCCAAGAGAGCATGGCATGGCATGGGGGCATCACAGAGGAGAAGCAGTCCTTGGCAAGGCAGCACAGGCAAAAGGCAGCCAATAGTGAATTAACAAGCAGCAAGCGACCACAGCAACTCTCTTTCTGTCCCTTATACTCTATCCAGGGTATATCCAGGGTACCCTCCTGTAGCACACCCCCCCCCCAGTGGAGGCCTTCCTATTATCCACTCCCAGAACTAGGGCAAGCTAATCAGTGGACTGATTTACTAATCACACACCCTTGATCCCAGCATCACATACTTAATCCCAGTATCACACACTCTAGGTTCAGCAACCTCTGAAAAGCCCCACCTATGACCGACTCCTTGAGGCTTTGTGGGGACATCTAGACACCAACTTCTTTTCAGGAATGTTAGAAAAATAGAAGTATATCCTTAAAATTATTTTTGCTTCTTAATGTAGGTATAATAATTTAAAGGCTGGCATTTTCATGGAATGTTAATTTTTAAATAAGTTTTAAAACTAGTAACATTTCTGTCTCAGCTGCTCTTGTGGATAACAGGAACTTCTCAGCAACATTTGTTCACTGCAAGTGAGGTAAATTTTATTTATAAGTACATTTATTTCCTTTTCCTCTCCAGCTTCTTCACAAAATAATCGATGGCATTTGTGGTCGAGCTTATCCTCTGTACCAGGATTATCACAATATTTGGAATTCAACAGAATGGATGCATATTCTAGAAGATGTTACCAAGTTTTTTAAAAGTGTAGTTGGTAAAAACTTATCTGATGAAGAGGTAACTTCACTCCACATTTCTATACCCAATAATAAATAATGTGCAGATTTTTAAAGGTGATCTTTAGAGCTCTGTATAATACAAGGGTCATCATCAGTAAGTGTTGTATATATTATATAACAATATAACCGCATCATTTTAAGTAAATAACAAACCTGTGAAATTTGTGGGGTTTTTCCCTGTTTGTTTTTGGCTTTTACTTTTTTGTGAAACAGTTAAAACATACAGGAAAAAAAGAAGTTATATAATCAATACCCATACTCCCCTTACAATGATAAAACAGTTAACCTTTTACCAACTTCAGGTGTTTCAGGTTTATGTGTTTGTTTAGAAATGACTTCAATACCCATATCCATATTTGTGCATATCTCCTTGTACACATCTGGGCCAGCTTTTCTAGGGTAAACATCTGGGTGAAACTGCAGGATAATGTGAAATCCACTTTAATTGCATTGTTTTTGTGTCTTTGCCAAAGTTCACAGGAGTATTTATATAGTTTGCTCACTTTATTTTTTTGAAGGCAGTTCTGTATATCTTATCATGTTGATTTGGGTGATGCTCTAGATATAAATTCTTTGTTGGACATAATGTATTTTAAAATAAGGCTGGCCTTTTTACTCTCTTAATGATGTGCTGTTGTGAATGAAAGTTCTGAGTTTTAATGAAGTCCAGTTTCTCAATATTTCTTTTACTGGTTAGTGCTGTTAATATCCTACTTAAGAAATATTTGTACCAAAGACTTGAAGATACCCTTGTATGTTTTCTCAGGGAAGCTTGTTTTAGTTCTCCATTTATGTTATTGGTCCATTTTGAGTTAATATCTATGGGTGACGTAGAGGCCAAGCTCATATTTGTCCACGTGTGTTCATTTGACCCAGCAGCATTTATTGAAATGATCATCCTTGCCCCACAAGGTTATTGTGCGTCCTTTGATATAAATTCGATTGTCGTGTGTGGGGGTGTTTATCTTGGATCTTTATTGTAGCCCATTAGTCTGTGTCTACATTTATTTGCCTGTTATCTGCACTGTTTTGATTACTGTAGAGCTAGTGCTTCACTAAATTAAGTCTTAGCATCTGGTAATAAAAGACCTTCAACTTCAAGTTTATTCAAGATTGCCTTAGCTATTCTCAGTCCTTTATATCTTTATACACATTTTAGAATTTGCTTATCAGTTTTAGCGGGAAAAAAAAGAAGGAAAAAAACCCATTGGTATTTTTATTCAGATTGCACTTGAGAAATGACATCTTAACAATTTTTAGCCTCCCAGTCTATGGAAGTGGGTAGATAGGTAGCGCTCCTATTATTTAGATTAGCTTTGCTTTCTCTGTTGTTTTGTAGTTTAAATTGAAGTTACAGTATTTGAGTAGATTTATATGTAAGGTGTCATGGTTTTGATGGTCTTTAATTTTGTTTCCAATTGTTCATTGCTAATATGTAGAAATGTATTTGATTTTTGTATATTTACCATGTGTTCAACAACATCTCGGTTTTTTTATTGGATCTAATGACTTGTAGCTTTTTTAGTGAAAGGATTTGAATGCACTTTTTTTCATTTTAATCCCCCCCGCTTTTTGGTGTTTTGAGACAGGGTCTTACTATATAGTTGTGACTGACCTGGAACTCACTGTGTAGCCCAGGGTGGTCTGGAACTCACAGTGATCCTCCTGCCTCAGCCTCTAGAGTGCTGGGATTATAGGCATGAGCCACCATACCCAATTTAATACCTTTTTTTTCTTTTTCCTACTTTATTCCACTGGCTGACACCCTTTTGGGCAATGTTGGGAAAACAAAACAAAACAAAACATGATAGTGGATTTAAATTCACTCTGGACCTTAGGGGAAAAAGTTTCATTATTTTACTGTTTAGTGTGTTAGCTTATGATTTCAAAAATATCAGGTTAAAGGAGTGTCTTACATTTCCAACTTTGCTGATAATTTTTATGAAGAATGAGTATTGAATTTGATCAGAAAGTTTCCCAGAATTTCTTTCTCCTTTATTTTGATAATGTGATTATTTTTTAATGTTTAACTAGCTTGCATTGGCAGACTAAATCCCACTTGGTCATGATGTTTTATCTCTTGATTTGATATACCAATATTTTATTTAGGACTTTTGCACCTGACTGATACTGATTTTTCTTTCCTGTAATGACTTTGCCAAGATACTATATTTTATTCTGGGCTCATAGAACAAATTTGGGAAGTTTTTTTTTTGTTGCTGTTGTTGTTCTCTGAAGGGTTTATATGACATTGATTTTATTTCTTTAGTATTGAGTTGCTGTTTTTATTAGCTTTTATCATAAGTTTTTATCTATTTGCACAGTAGTCAAAAATACAAACACTGTTATTTTTCAGTCTGTTGTGGTATACTGCGTGGTTGAGCTTATTTTACATTTTGGTGAATCTTCCATGTACATATTTAAAAATCCTATTTACTCTACAGTTGGGTATAGATAGTATTCTTTATGTTAGGTTAAATAGTGTTTTTCATTTTTTCTGCATTTGCTATTTTTGACTTTTTCTGACAGCTTCTCAGTTGTGTTAACATCCCTAATTATGGGTGTATTTGTCTTTAGAACTGCCAGATTTGGCTGCTTTATATATTTCGAAGCTGTGCTAATGGGTACATCCAAATTTGTGATTGTTAATCTTTTCTTTTGAATGGCTCTGTTGCCCTCTTTTCCTCTTTCTTGTAATATTCCTTGTCTTGAGGAAGAACTGTGTTGTTTGATCTATTAACAAACCTTCAAAACCTTTAAATCAGTTTCTGTGCTGTCCATTTGTATTCACTTCTAGGCTGCATTATCAGTCAGCTGCTTTACTTTACTTTCTCTTTTGCAGGAATTTGCTAAAAATTGTGTGCTGGTTACTCATTCTCATTTTATTCTTTCATAGTTATGGAAATATTTTGATTATAATTTAAAGATGCATGTGAAAAGAAAATGAAACTATACATCCTAAGCAGAATGGCCCTTTCATTTAGTTTGTCATGATTTATTTTTGTTTTCATAGACTCTTCAACAGTTGAATCAGTTGAGTTCATCTCATCAAGAATCTGTCATGAAATGCTTGAAAAGTAGAAAAGATGAAATCAAGCAGGTTCTGTTAGGAGAAATAGTTGACATTTCCTCTGCACAGCTACAGGATTTTGACTGGCAGCTAAAGGTGAGAGTCTGTTTATTTTGAGTATATATTTTTTATTATCTAATTTTTTGGATCTAGAGACATGCTTTTTATGACATAAATATCAGAAATTTCTCTTTGTTTGAAAATGTGTTGTTCCAAAGAAATAGCAAAGATTATTTTAATTACATCTTTTACATTAACTTGGGTTTGAAGAACACTTAAGTACCCAAACCATGTGTAACATTGCATTGATAAATTTAACTAGTTTTATAAATTACTAAGACCTAAGAATGAATCATAAATGTTGGAGCATGATACATTCAATTTATATTTTTGGCTGGAGCATTTTAGACTTTATTACTTTTTCAGGATTGGTAAATGTGATTCTGCCTTTGGGAGGAGAATCTATAATGTGATATTAAAGGAACAGTTTAAAAACATTTAGAAGAGAGTCATGATGAGTACAGTTGATAAAGAACAATATCAGATCAGCTTTCCATTCCTTAATAGGTTTAGACTAGTAGATGAGAAGAATCTGATCAGCTGTTTTTTTGTTTTGTTTTTTTTAATTTTAAAATAACCTGGCTAAAGTGCCTCCTGTTGTCTTTGTGGATTAAGTGGAGAAAAAGTTGGGAAAATAACACAGTTGGATGAGTTTGTAACTCGATAAGTGACCATCTAGTTACAGATAAATGAATTTGTTTTAGCTAAGAAAATGGTCTCTGTGGTTCTGGTCTTGGCTTGGTATTCTTGAACATTTTAGTGACTATTACGACTATCAAGTTTGAGAGTATGCAACACCAAAGGTGTAAATAATCAAATATATGATGTAATCAAAGTTTAAAATTATTTTATAATTTATTACACAGACAGGCTAAATGAAGATAAGTAATCAAGTGATAACCTAAGTTGAGAATTTTCATTTAAGCATTTTCTGCTTTCATAAATATAAAAGCTAGAGTAGAGGTGCTAATATAGTGTGTATAAGAAATGTTTAGTTGTTTTGGTTTACCAAGATATAGCTTACTTGATGTTGATTTTAGCTCTAAAAATTCTGTTCAACTATTCAGTCTTTTTAATTTAACAATCTTTTTAGTTCTGGCTGCCAAATTTAAGGAGATATTTAAACAAATTGTAATCCAGAAGAGTGCGGTGAGGAATTTAAAGTCCCATTCAATGAAATTGCTTTGAAACATGTGAGACCATGTACATGGAAAAGCTGAAACCTAGTGGAATATGATAATCATTGTTGAAAGATGACTAAAGTCACACATGGGTGTGTGCTCGGGGACACCAGAGGCTGGGACAAAGATGAAGGCATTTCATTGGCCATAACATGTGTTTGAATTCAGCCCAGGGAAGCAGTCAGCAACTGTAATTGTCTCACAATGATTTTAATCCCTTGAGGTAACTCATTCCTCTTCATTGGTGCTGAGCATAGGCTGAGAAACTACTTATTGTAAAAATTGAGAAATATCCATAAAATAGACAACTAGAAAGTTATTCTTTAAAATCTCAGACATTATGAGTTCTGCTTTTGGATGAGAGAGTAGAAACAAATGAGGATTTGACTAGAGGGGAGGCCCTTTGAGGATTGTTAGGGAAGCTGTCCCTTAAACATTGCACAAGATTTTTTCAGTGTTGTACTTGAAACAAAGATTGTAGAGTTTTTGGGCTCATATTCCAGGAAAATCAAGTTTTCTTTTACCATCTCCAATGATATGGTGCCTCTTTCAGCAAGTGTTAGTACTAAATACCTTATTTGAGTCTTCCAGTTCCTCTAAGATACGCACTGCCTAGAGGCGGAAATTTAGGAAATTAGGTAGATATATTGAGGGTTTTTGTTTTGAGGTTCTAATTGAAGATGATTTATTGATAACTTATTAATAGCTGATGAATTAAACATCTTAATTGCAGAGAGTTTAATGTTTTTAGTGTCCATTTATCTTGATATATAAACTATTCTCCTTGATAGTTTTAATTTTCTTTAAGAATTATATTTTTGGACCCAATCTGTACTTCCCAAAGTTTTTATAACTAGAGAATGGTTACATTCCTGTGTGAAAGAATATCATCTTTTTTTTCTGGACAAATACAAATATGGATATTTGCTTCTGCCACAATATTGCTGGCTGGTTGACCCTTTTTCTTATTTACTTCTTTTTATTAATCAGTTTCTCCTGTTTTTCTTTCCTTCAGATATGTGTGTTTTGACGTGAATTTATTCCTCCACCTTTCTCGGTATTTGATAGCACATAGAAGTACTTTATTTCCACTTAAATGCAATTAGTAAACTCTGATGCAGTTTTAATATAGTCCCTTTTACTATTTATTAATTACCATTTTCCTAATTTTAAACAGCTTGCACTTTCTAGTGACAAGATTACTACTTTACAAATGCCACTTTTAAGCCTTCATCTAGATGTAAAAGAAAATGGTGAAGTAAAACCATATTCTGTTGAAATGACTAAGGAAGAGCTGCAGAATCTCATAAACTCCTTGGAAGCAGCTAATAAGGTATTGCTTTTAATTTTATCATATTGTTTAGGTATTTCTTTTCATTGCTACCCTTTGAGCAATAAAAGACAAACTTAACAGTCAACTTTTAATGTTTCCTTTTTTCCCTAATATTTTATCAGCACAGAAAATACTTTGTTGAGATGGTCTGATCTCTAGTGTAAGATATTAAATGAATCACAACTTGCTCAATTACTATCGGGAATAACTTATGAAGTAGTTATTTTTGAAAGAATAATAGTGCTATTCTAAATGCTGGATTTGTTTTGCTTCTGTGCTCACTAATAATAAAAACAAAATTTTGCCTTGGCACCATTATATTAATAGATGGTAAAGATTTTTTTGTGATAAAACTAGTTACTGATCTAAAAAACAGAGTGTCTTATTTAGGTAAACAAATGTCAGAAAATTGCTTTTGTAATCCTCTAAGTTTGGGAGATAAAAACTGCTTGTAGTTATGACAAAAACAAGTTTAGACAAGTAGAATTAATGACTGTCTAAAAACTTCATTTTTACCGAGCAAGGCTAAGTAATCCTAGTGACTCCTGGTGTTTAATAAGTGGGAAAAATAATGTTTAAGCAGTAGAAACTGTTGATAGGAAGAAGGATGTGTATGTACATTCCCTCATTTTTGCTCAGCATTTTCTCAAGTGACCTGGTCTCAGTGATTAGTTCTGAGTTACTCTTATCCACCTCCATTGCCACTATCAGTCTTTTTGATCCTACCTTTTTAATTCCTTGACAATACTAGCTTCTTACTTTAATTTCTTGATGATTGGTGTTAACGATTTGTGTCTAGATGTCCTGCCGAAGCCTCATGCACTTATAGGTGGGGCTTCATCAGAGGTGGTTGGGTCTAGAGTGTGTGATTACTAAGTTAGTCCACTGATTGGTTTGGCATAGTTCTGCTGGGACCATGAATGTAATGCTGGGATTGGCGCATGGTGCAATGCTAGGATTAAGGGGTATGAGTGCTACCTGCCCTCGGGGCCAGTAGCCTGAATAAGATATTAGAGACAGAAGACAGTTCCTGCCTCTCTCGGTATTTGCTTATTGCTGTGCCATCCTGCCTCGAAGCCAGCCAACTATGAAGTGAGACTTCTGCGAACTGTAAGCCAAAAAAACCTTTACCCCTTTAACTTTGGGTGTTGGCTATTGTGGCTCAGCAATGAGAAAATTAACTAAGACAGTTGGTCTGCATGCTCACCAACCAGACTGGTAACTCAGGCCTGGCTTGCTTTAGTATTGGGGTAAATATGTGAGTTGGGTGTAAGATAGTGTAAATACTGAACGATGTAAGCTACAGAGGTTGGCCACAAGTGCCATCTGTCACTGTGTGCATTGTACTTGCTTGTTAGTGGTTCTCCGTACCCCTTTTCCGAGACTTCAAAGCTTTTCATTTAGTGTGCATCAGCATCATTCTGGTATAACCTGATAGCACTCCTTGTCATTTCTGTTTGAAGGTGGTCCTGCAGTTGAAGTAACTGGAGATGATGAATACCAACACTATCAGATTTCACTGCTACGATTGATTGATGCGCAGAGTGAATGCTGTGTTCAGAAACCCTACAGGTTACTGTCTGCTGTACCCCGCTGAGAAAGAAGCAGTGTTGAGATTAGAAAGATAAAAATGTATTAGTGTCTCTGAAGAACAGGAAATTACATGGTCGAAAGGAAATGCATAGAATGAAAGTGAAAAAGCTGCAGTAACAGTTTATATTTTCATAATGATTGTTTTGTCTCATTTACTAAATATTTGAGAAATCTTTGTAAATAGTTTTATTGAAAGCTAAAGCTAATTTCTAAACATACAAAGCACAAATGTATTGAATATTGCTTAAAGATATATGTGAATAGCAAGGACATGTATTATGGCTATATAGTAAATTTGTGATATTTAAATAAGTTTTTAAAAGAATGTATAAGCTACATATATATAACTCAGGAGATTCCTTATCTTTTTCATTTCAAAGAAAGTATAAAATGTAAAATTTCTTAGAGAAAAGCTCTGTATCAGATATGAACTAGAAAAATACTTCTAAATATCTGAATAATTCTGAGTTTACAAATTGTAGAAACTAAAATCTAGAACACAGAAAAAGAACATTATTACTTTTGCATTTCCATGCCTGATTGGGAGACTATACTCTGATAAAAGGAATAGATGTCTTTTTATAGTATGTACCTTGTTATAAATACAGGTAATACTCTGCAGGTCCATTTTGGTTGTAAATTCTTAATATTTAACACTTGAATGTTAAATTCATTGGAAAATAAACCACTTCTAACCTCAGCTAATTTTAAAAATAATCATTCTGAGCAAATAAAAGTGCTATGCCTTTTTTCATGTATTGCTTTTTTAAAATGACTTTCCACATAACTCAGTAGTTAGTAATGCATAAATAATTGGTACCTGCTCTCTGCAAGCTTTGTGTCTCCTTAAAGCATCATATGATTCTTAGAGCTGTCTATGGGAGTTACTACCATTCTCACCATACAAGTGAGGATAGGCTTAGAGAACTTTAATAGATATCTGAGTGTATTCTAAACAGTACTACTCAAAATGAGTCTCTACACTAGTGCCAGTATATGAAATGTTTGTTGTAGGTTGATGATTAGAAAAGCCTAGGCCAAAATGTTCATCAATGCAGTATATTACTTTATTGAGAAAATTTATGAAAACTGTCAGCTGAAGTAAACAGTGTGCTCATTGTGGTTGATTTATCTTCCTGTGCGAGTTCCTTATGTCATTATGGGCTAAAACCAGTTTGCAGACTAGTACTTTTGAGTAGCATTGATCTGGAGATTTCTTCTGAATTGCAGTCTTTCATGAATTCCTTTTATAAGGAAAAGAAATCTTGCTCTTAATAGCCCCCTTCTCACTACATGTATTCTGTTAGCGTGTTCAATGACTTGATTGAAATCTGATCCACAAACCATGTACTTACTGCATTTATTGAAAGTGTACAATTTGATAAGTTTTGACATACATGCAAGTATTACCACAATCAAGATAGTAAACACTGGTAACTCCTGAGATCTTTCTCTGGCTCGGTTGCATCCTTCCCCCAGGAAGCATTGATCTGCTTCCTATCACTACAGTCTGGTTGCATTTTTTTCAAGAGTTTAAATGGGATCATACAGTAAATGTATTTTTTTTTTCCTTTAGTGCTGGGAATTAAGCCCAAGGCCTGTAGATGCTAAACACATGGTCCACCACTGAGCATAATTTGTATTCTTTTTGAAAAAACATCTTATTTCAGCATCAGTTTGAGGTTTTGTCCATATTGCTGAGATCAGTAGTTCATTCTTCTTTAATTATTTTGCTGAGAACTATCCTGTTGTATCATTCTGCCACAGTTTGTGAGTTTACCTGCTGATATGTTGGTTGTTTCACAGTTTGGGCTTTTACAAAGAGAATGCTGTGAACATTGCTGTATACATCTTTGTAATGACATAGGCTTTCCTTTGAATAGAGTGACACGGTTGCATTGCGTAGTGGGTAAATGTTTATCTTTTCTGGAGTGATTTTTACGATTTCATTCCTGTTATATTAATGATGAGAGTTCTCCACCTCTCTATCATCTGGTGTGGTCAGTCTTTATGATTTCAGGTATTCTAGTCTGTGTGCAGTGGTACCTCCGTGTGATTTTAATGATCATTTCCTTAATAAGTATTTTTTAATGTGCTTATTTGTCGTCTGTACATTTCAGTAAAATTTGTATCTGCTGCCTGTTTTTAAGTTGGGTTCTTTGTTGCCATAGTGTTGAGTTTTGAGATTTCTTTTTTTTTCTGATTACTAGACTATTTTCACATACTTGTGTTGCAGTTACTTTCTTCCATTCCATTTTTTTTTCTTTTTCTCCCTGTGAATGGACCTTATTCTTTTCCAAACAGCTTTAGATCTACAGAAAGCTAGAGAAGATGGTATAGAGTATGGTTCTGCAAACCCAACGTCACATACGTGGTCTCCTAGGAGCTGAGCCACGCACAGGAAGTGAGCAAAGCTTAGTATTTACAGGTGCTCCCAATGCTCGCGTTACCGCCTGAGCTCTGCCCCCTCAGGTCAGCAGCATTGTTAGATTCCTGCAGCACAGAATCTACTGTGAACTGTGTACATGATGAGAGAGCAAGGTTGTGTGCTGCTGCTTTGCTCTTTCTAATCATTGGGGTCACCCCCGCTCCCCACCACTGTCTGGAGAAATTGTTTTCCATTATAAACAGGTCATGGAAAAGGTTGGGGATGATTGGTATAGAGAATTCCTATATTCCTCATGCTGAGTTTTTCCTATTGTAGGCACTTGCATTGGTATAGTTTTGGTGTAATTAATGAACTAATACTAATATTATTAATTGAATTCCACAGCTTACTCAAAATCCCTGTGTTTTTACCTGTCTTTCTGTTCCAGGACTTCATCCTAGATACTGAATTACATTTAATTACAATGTTTCCTTAGGCTCCCCTGTTGTCCCAGTTCCCTAGAGTTTGTTCTTGATGGCCTTTGATAGTTTTGAGGAGTGCAGGTAAGATATTGTATAATTATCGGGATTCACCTGATTTTGTCTTTCACAGTTGGACTGGGACTGTGGGTATGAGGGAAGAAGGCTGCAGAAATGAGGTGACTTGCCATCCCATGCCAAGGGGCACATTACTGATGTGGCTGATGCCCTGATGGCCTTGGCCACCTGGCCAAGGCGGTTTTCATCAGATTTCTTCCTTGTGAAGGTTCTATTTTGTCTTTTCTGCACTGTACTTATTGGAAGGAAATTACTCTTTTCAGCCCATACATACTTAAAGGACAGTTGTGCTTCTCTGTGAGGTTGGAGTGAGTGTCTGCAGAAATTATTTGGAATTCTTCTGCACAGATTTGTCTTTATTATTTAATCATAGATATTTATGTTTTATATTATAATCTCTGCTTTGTTACTGAAATTATTTCAGCTTTGGCCATTTGGAGCTATTTTGCTTGACTCATGTATCCCTTTGACCACAACTTTATCAGTGGGAGTGATTTTTCCTTTGGGGAGGGTAGTGTTTAAAATATTTTTTTTCTTCTGCACAGATTTGTCTTTATTATTTAATCATAGATATTTATGTTTTATATTATAATCTCTGCTTTGTTACTGAAATTATTTCAGCTTTGGCCATTTGGAGCTATTTTGCTTGACTCATGTATCCCTTTGACCACAACTTTATCAGTGGGAGTGATTTTTCCTTTGGGGAGGGTAGTGTTTAAAAAATATTTTTTTTCAGCTTTAATTGAGTTTATTGGTACATTTTAGGGATACAGTACAGTTACATTCATTGTTGGGATCTTGTACCTCTACATGACAAGTCTTGATTCTCATTTTTTTCCCCTTGAAAAGAAGCATTTCTTTATTTTTGGGCAGTATAAGATATTCTAGGCACCTCTTGTGTAATTCTTACCCAGCGTTAATCAGTCATTTCTTCGAGGAACCAAGGTCCTTGAAATATATTAGAAACCAAGCTATCTGAATTTTCTTTTCACAAAATTCTGCGCTTCTATTAAAAAACAAACAGAAAAACTTACTGCCTTTCTTTTGTTTATACGGTACCAGTTAATCCAGATAAGAGCTAGCGGTTCTGAGAGGTATCTTATGTTTTATTTATTTATTAATTAATGGGAGATAATAATTAACATGGTGGGAAAGTTCTGGAATCACTTGAAATTCTTGCAGCTAAAAAAGTGTATGCTGGTGCACTTTGTTACAGAGGAGTTCGCCTTTGAGCATTTTTATAATTTAACTCTTAGGATGCCTCATGTCATTAGAAGTTTCTCGGTATATTTTTAATATTTTGGGGTTTCATTTCTTTTTTATAATTTAATTATATTTTGTTTCCTTGATAATTTTTTTTTCATTGATGTTACTGAGAGTGAGTATGCTGAAGTTGAACAAAAGCTTTGGGTTGGATATATATTTTAATTATATAGTAGTATAAAAGGTGATGTTTGAGAGTAAGACTAAATGTCAGCTTTGAAGTTGGGCATCTGACTCCACTGCTTACTTGGAAGGTCATTTTTATCTTGCTGAACTTCAATATTGTGAAGCACAAAATGGGGAAAAGAAAAATCTTGGAACTCATGGATAAATTTAATTCTCACGAAATATGGATGAGGCAAATTTTAATGTTGTTTACATTGATAAAGTTGACCCACTGATGTCCCCACGTGAAAGCTCATGGACATTTGCAGGAGAATAAAGAGGTGTAGTTCCTTGAAGTCATTGCTGTGAATTCAGAGACATACCAAATGCGACAAGTAGACTGCATTTGGATCTTCTTTTTAAAAAAGAGAAAAAACAGCTGTCAGAGACATTTGGAGGCAACTGGAAAATGTGAATAGGCACTGAGCATGAATGATATCAAGGAATGATTATTTTTGTTAGCTGTGATAATAGTGTAGTAAATTTCTTAATGCCCATAATGAGTAGAAATATGTATAAGGACAATAAGATAAGATATAGTATTTATTTTAAAATACTTTAGAAAAACTACTGAAATAGCAGAATATGGGTGATTCTTATATT